ACAGAAACAGAAGAAAAAAATCAGAAAGTTGTATTTTGACAAAATAAAATTATCATTCATAACATAAAATCATCATTACATAAGTGATTTCAACATAAAATGAATATTATATTTCAATATCCAGGTGGACGCTTCAACATCTTCGATCGATCTTGAAATTATCTCTTCCAACTCGAGCAGAAATTTTGCTTTGAAACAGAAAAATATATTCCACATAGCCCTTACGTCAGCATCTGTCTTAAACTCATAGTTGTTGAACTCAATCTTGCCTTCGTTGTTAATTGACGGTGATTGGTTCTTGAGCTTCACAATTTTTTGATTTAACTCCTTAAGGTAGGATATTATGCATTTTGTATGGTAGATCTGCATAAGAGGTGTACTCATTGAGCTTAAACTTTCGTCCGGGTGTCACGCTGAAGAAGGAGACATTTGCGACATACCAGATGATGTTTATTTGTTACATTTGAGACTTTTTTTGTATGAAATAAAAAACAAGAGCCCCTAAATTTATAGAAGTTTTAGACAAATGTGGGCCTAAAAAAATCTATCATGCATTAGTGCTGGTTTCAAGATACATTTCTGGTACCGCCTATTATCTTATTCCAGAGATACATTTCTAGAACCTCTCCTGAACTAGAAAGTAAATATAACTTGTGTGTTTTATTTGGAAAACGAACAAATATTTTGGAAAAAATAAAAAATGTATTAAAATATTTGAAATTGTATATATTAAACTTCATTAATATTAATATACAATTATATTTAGTTAGTTGATGATGATGAAAAACTAAAATGAATCAAAAGATTTGTCACCGGCTAAATCTATAAGCACTTGAAAAAGTTTTATGAGACTCTTTTGATGTGCAATCCGAATGATGTGATTGAATATTAGGTAAAACTACAGTTGTTTGGTTTTTCTTTGATAGGTCGAGCAAAGGATTGGTTGCAGTACATTCCAAATGGAACTTAGAAAAAATTTGAAGACTAATTTTGGGGAGGTATTTCTCTAATGCACAGTTTGTAGAGAGGAAAGATGAATTTCAAATTTTTTATCAAGGTGATTCTGAGTCATTATTGGATGCATGGAAGAGATTCGAGTTGTTACTTCGAAGGTGTCTGAATCACAATACGAGCATTATGGAACAGATACAACATTTAATTAGAGGTATAAAATCTCAATTTAGAATGATTTTGGATAACTAAGCTAGAGGTATCGTAAATACTAAGAATGAAAATGAGGTGAAATATTTAATTGAAAGAATGTTCAATAATGAATATCGCTCAATGATTGACAGAGGAGTCAAACTAAAGGGTGTAGTTGAAGTTGATCAGAGTACAACAACATTATCCCAACTTGAACTTATTTCAAATTGTTTAGTTGCAGTCATTATTGTTTCGGTAAATGTTAGTCAAGTTTTAGACACTACAATGTGATTTTTGTGGGAAAGGGTATGATAATCGCAGTTGTGTTATGGATGGATAAACAGAAGAAGTGTATTATGCTAGAAATTTCCAAAAGGTAATCCTTACTCTAATACTTATAATGCAGGCTGGAATGATCAACTGAACGTTAAGTGGAGTAATAACACAAGAACTCCCCAAGCCCCTCAAGTTCCTCAAGCACTACAACACATGAAACTATCTCATTGGAAGAAGCCTTAGCTAATATTATGAAAACCACTCAAGAAAGTTTTGAACAAGTTGGAAAAAATCAAAAGTAATGTTTAAAACCCAAATGGAAATAACCAAGAATCAAGACATCATAGGTAAGAACATCGATGCTTCCATCAAATATTTTTAAAATACGATCGACAACCCGAATGTTAAGAGTTGCAAAGCCATAGATTTGAGAAATAGAGTGGTGCCTACAAACCAAACGGTTGGTGGTGAGAGAAAAGATCCAAGTGAGGGTGAAGAAAAGATTGAAAAAGAGGTAGTAGTTGAAAGAGGTTGAGAAAAAAATCAAAGGGGGAAAAATGATGAAAATAATGAAGATGAAGTTAGGGGTGATACCCTTAACAAACTCATAGATAGAAACTCGTCATTCAGAAGTACTAAGAAAAAAAATTATGAATGAACCTAACCCAGAGCTACCTGACTACATCAAATCACCTTACCTTATATTGCTTGAAACTTGTTGTAAAACCACCTTACCCTTCTGGCATATTAACTAATGACTTTGACATTAGTTGATTGTTTTATAACTTATCCTTATGGATTTATTAAAGATGTATTGGTCTGAGTGCACGATATGTTATTTTAAAAAATTTCGTTATTGTTGATATGCTAAAAGACTCTGAAACACCGTTAATTCTAGGTAAACCATTCTTAGTAACAGGTATAGCTATGATTAATGTAGAATTATGAAAGATAATTTTGAGATTTAACAAATAAAATGTTGTGTTTATTGTGTTTGAAGCTATGAAACATATCAAAGAGAATATTTAATGCTATAAAGTTGATGTAGTTGAAGATGTAGTCGAGGAAGTGTCTCCAAGTTTGTCGCCTTTGTTACCTATTGAATATGTTATGGTGAATTATATTGACATGATTGAGGAAACACAATATAAAAAGTTAAGGAAAATGTGGGTGCCATATCAAAAAGTGAGACATTGAGTAATCCTGAACCAAGTGTCTTAGTGGCAACAAAATCTCAAAAATTTAAGATCCTTGAAATTAAATAGAATCATCCACAATCAAAGCTTGCTCTCTTGAGAAAAAAACTGAGACCACCTGGTCAAATTTGGAGTTCCTTGTCTAGTTAAAAAAAAAAGAGAAACTTAGAAGAGTATTAAGAAAGAATAAGGGAACACGTGGTTGGGAAAGATGTGGTATAAATGGGAGAAATCTGACTAATTGCATGCACAATAACAAGTTTGATTTCAAACTAAGTAGATACAATAATACAAGTTTGGAGGAAGAACCTTATTATTGAATCAAACGGTAACGCTAAGGACCTTAAATATGTGTTATATGGGAGGCAACCCATTGGTGTTTTTAGCTTTATTTCATTTTTGTAGTTTTTTGTGTTTTCCCTTTTGTTGACTACATGTGCTTTATTTAATGAATGAGTTCTTCTTCTTTATTCTCTATAGTTCTTTCACTACCTTACCAATGACAAGAAAATTAAGACACACAAAAAGAAAAATCAAAGAAAGAGAAAGCAAAGTATGGACCGAAGTTTCAAAAATTGATTGAAAGATTGAAAAGAAAAGAATATCCAACTCACATATGCTGAATTTCCAGATACCTCAGCTAGTAAGTGTTCGTACATTTGTTATTTTATAGATTTTTTTTCTATTTTTGATTTAGTCTATTGGTCTAATAAACTACACACCAAGGCACTTGTTTGTGGAAACTCTGAGCTTTTTCAAGACAACCTATGTGTGTGTGTTGTGTACGCATGTGTGTGTGTGTGTGTGCATGCATGCATGTGTGTGTGTGTGTGTGTGTGTGTGTGTGTGTGTGTGTGTGTGTGTTGTTCAATCATTTTGAGCCTGCGCCCTTTCTTTCGGTTACATAGCTTGTTATATAGCCATTTGACTTGAAAGGCTAAATCTTTCCACCTCTTTGGAGTTAGGTAGAAAGTTTAGTTTTTTTTTTTGATGTGAAAAAAATAAAAATAAGTTTGGGGTTACTGTTAAAAGTTAACAACACTTAAGTTTAGGGTAAGGGTACTATAAAATTATGATCAAAAGAAAGAAAAAGAAAGGCGAAATAAAGATAATAAGAAGTTAAAAATAACTTCTTCAAAACAAAAGTAAAAATGCTTGAAAAAGACCAACAAATTGTATTCTCTAGTACTGATTAACCACGTAAAGATTGTGATGAAAGAAACATGGTGACATAAAGAAAACTAGGTACTTAACTCTTAAGTTTTAAGCCTATTACCCCCAAAATATTCTACCCTGAAATAAGCCTCATTACAACCTCAAAAAGATCTCGAAAGTGTGTGTCTAAATATGACTTTGATTGACTTTGTTAGAAATTTTGCAAATGTATGGTAAAATGCTTTTGCACGTTGGTCGTGTGATTATCCTATCAATTCACGTGAAAAGGTGAGACGAGAGATAGGTTGAGTACACAGGGAAGTTGGAGAAAAATCTTTGGGTTTATCTAAATTGAGATAAAGAATGGAAGTCCTAACTCTGTTATCATTGGTGTTTGTCATATGTTTGGTATGTGCAAAGATTCGAGATGATTCACAAGTATGAATAAGTTCCTTGAGGATAAGTAACAGAACAAGTTTAGCTTGTGGTGACATTCTGTCATTACGTGATTTTTATAAGAAGTTGGTATCATTTTGAAGTGTTTTTCAGTTAATCAAGAATTGTAGAAGATATAGTAAATATGATCAAGTGAATAATAGAAGAACATATATGAAAAAGTACAAAAATTGCAAGCAAAAAGCAAGAAAGTTGTTGGAAAAATCGTGTGCAAATCGTGTGGCATCGTGCACAAGAAGAGGGCAAAGAAAAATATATTGTGTGCATGGTATGAAGCAATGTGTGCACGATGGTGAGCTGGTTGGGCATCATGTGAACTATATGAAGGATTGTGTGCACGATAGGTTGCTTTATGGACACGTTTTTAGTTGTTTTAAAGGACAGAAAGTACAGTTTTATAAGGGTTCCGAATTTGAGAGGAGAAAGTGACACTGAAGAGTTCTACAACACATATTTTGAGAGTATTAAAGTTATTGGAGACATTTCTTCATTAATTTTCATGTAATTTTCATCTAAACTCATTGTATTAAGTATTTGAGACAAACTCAAACACAAACATCCATGTAGACAAGACTGCCCTCAATGATAAATGCTACAAAAATAGCAGTGAAATAAAGATTAGATAAATGGAGACAACATTAAGAACCTTGATCAATTAATCCATGATAATCGATACATAAATAGAACACATTGAAAAATAAAACATCAAACAGATTTAAATATTTGACTAAGATGAATTCACACCCTAGATTTAAATATTGTTATATCAGACGGTTATAATTCATCCATTTTTTTCCACAATACTGCCAAAAATCCCAACTTCAAAACTCGGTTCCCACGTGCTTCAACACCAAACCCATTCATTACCATGTGACCATGTAGCACAATCACTACAAAAACAAGCAAACTCCCATTATTCACAATAAAAAACTCAACAACCTCAAAATCATCAAACCCACCGTAAACCACCGCAATGACTTCACCAACAACAACCTTAATCCTCGCTGTTCTATTATTCCACTTCGCATCAACATCAACATCATCAGACTCAAACAACCACTGCGGTCCCACAAAAAACCGGGACCCACAAAACCTCCAACCCAACAAAATCACAGTACTCATAAACGGTTTCTCCGAAACCCGAATTCCCGTCCTCCAATCAATAGCCGCCACGTACTCACTCTCACCATTAGTATCCTCTGTGCTCGTCCTCTGGGGAAACCCATCTACACCTCCACGTGTCATTGATCAACTGGCTCTCAACCTCTCGTTCTCTTCTGATGCGATTTCGTTACATCGAAACCCTTCTAGTAGTTTAAACGACCGTTTTCTTCCTCGTTTAAACGACATAAGTACTGATGCCGTTTTGGTTTGTGACGACGATGTTGAGGTTGATGGTGCGTCGTTTGAGTTTGCGTTTCGGGTTTGGTCAGCGAACCGGGAGCGTGTTGTTGGGGTTTTTGCTAGGTCGCATGATGTGGATATGAACCGGAAGGAGTGGGTTTATACGGTTCACCCGGACCGGTACTCGATCGTGCTCACCAAGTTCATGTTGCTCAAAAGCGAGTACTTGTACAGATATAGCTGCGAGGGTGGGCCTCGTATGACCCAAATGAGAAAGATTGTTGATTCGGTTCGAAATTGCGAGGACATACTCATGAATTTTGTGGTGGCTGATTCAACAAATGTTGGTCCTATTTTGGTTGGTGCAAAAAGAGTGAGGGATTACGGTGATGCACGAAACGATGAGGGAAAGTTTAGTTTGGGGTTGAGTGGAAGAAAAGGGGAGCATAGGAAAAATAGAGGGTGGTGTATAACTGAATTTCATAGGGCTTTGGGAAGAATGCCTTTGAGGTATAGTTATGGTAAGGTTGTTGATTCCATTGGGGAACAAGGGTTGTGCCGGAAAGGTGGTAAATTGGTGTTTTGTGATCAATGACACTAAATGTGTGTCCTTCCATTTCTTTTGTTGTGATTTTATTTTTATCATTTGTTCTTTTCTTTTCTTCTAAAATTGTTCAAAAGTGAGAAATTGTAGATTTGAATATGTCTTTGAGCACTAAGTTTGTGTTTGGTTATGTGATGATAATTGATTCTCACTTAGTTGGTTATAATTAAAAGTGAGTTAGATGTGAAGTATGTTTCAATACATTTATGTATAAGTGGGTTGAATAACAAATTTTAGACAATAGATGTCCGTGTCATTTCTTTTATATATCCAAAACATAAAGGTATTAGATGTATGAGTTATTTCTTTTAAATATCCAACATTTCCTTCCTTTAAAATAGTGTTAGACTTAGATGTATGAGTTATTTCTTTTAAATATCCAACATTTCCTTCCTTTAAAATAGTGTTAGACTTAACAACTCATTTGTGAGAGTGTTGAAATTCAAGTATGAATTGTTAAGTTTCATATCATATAACAAGATTCAACCTCCGCTCCTTCACCAAGTTGAACTAGACTTTAATATCAAATTTTTAGTGATAAGCAAAGAAAAATTCAATGAGTGTTGTAGTAATATATTTATAAAAGACCCATAGTATGGCAATATGGGACCAATCATCATTAGGCGTCTGCCTCATAATATGTTGCTTAAGTGTGATACTCATTCAGTATTCAGTAGTGGGTTCGTCCTAAGGGGGAACGTGTGATGTGTACATAGTTCATAGTCATGTGTGAAAGCAGTCATAACTATGATTTCCTAAGAAGTAGGCAGACAACAGGTTGTCTAGTCAAGGTGGAGTGGTTATTACTTCTTAGAATTCTCTGAATCAAGGCACATAGGCCTCTATAAATACCTCAATATAAAGGTTGAGCTTCAACTCTAAGATTGAGGAAGATCAATCCATTATTCACCAAAAATATCCCAAATATATAGCTTCTCACCCTCGTGAGATTGTTCTAACTCTTACTAAAAATAAGGCTTTTTACCACCATGAGCTTACTCTAACCACCACTAACTCTAAAGCTTCTATCCTTCCCTACTAGCTTATGGATGTCACGCATATATACTTTTTTTTAGTAAGTACAGTGGTGTCTACCGTGGAGCCCTAATAAAATTGATAAGGGTCACACCTTCTATTATCACCGCCACTTTAACACTTACCAAAGTCTCCACTCCTACCTTAACCCCCTAGCCATGGTCGCTAGGAAGGCACAATCAGTCACCTAAAAGAATACTAGAGACAGTGGAGATCCTAACGCCATATCGGAGATGTACGTTGCCATGGACGAGCTGCATCGTTAAAACCTAACTCTGAAGGAGAACGCCCTTAACATTAAACAGCGCCAACAGAAGGTTACCCCCACAGTGGAGATGGAAGTACTGGATCCTCATCCACTCTCAGATGAGATATATGAGTCACATATTCCTGAAGGTTTCAAGCCTCCCTCTTTTGTGAAATTCAATAGGTGTGGAGATCCTTACGAGCATGTCGCATCTATCAATACGCAGATGGTCATCATCGGAGCGCTCGATTATCTAATGATTGGTAACAACTATGTATCTTTTCTTACCTTTTAAAACTTACAAAACGATAGTTTTTAGGCCAACAAATTGATTGGTGCATTATGTTAATCGATTGGCTCATTAATTCTTGCCCCAAATTTTTTCCTTTTTTGTGTGTCAACCTCTAGTCTATAAGTAGAGGTCAATTTCCTCATATTTTCACATCCAGAATCATGAGCTCTCATATCTTACTTCTCATTGTGTATAAAAACATTTTTCTCAATTTCTATCACTTAGAAATTTAGTCGTAGTGCTTTCAAAAAAGGTCTTTTGCAAGTAAGACATTTATGTAATTTTGGATTTTTATCTTGGTTAAATAGTTTATCCATTTAGGGATTGTTTATTTGGCTTCAAGCAAAATCCTTTAAAAGCTTTGGTTTGGGGATTTGATGGATCAACCTACTTAAAAGCTTTCATCGATTCGAGAGCAGCCCAATATTAAAATCTCAAAATGGTTTTTGATTATCTTGTGTAAAACCCCGGTTAAGTTCTAAGTTCATCTCGATTAATTAAAAACATGCTAAGGTTAGAGAAAAGCATGGTATAAATATCATAGGTTCGTGGTCAGTCTGTCAAAATCTTGGTTTGGTTTGTGAGCTTAACACGGATTAAAAGCTCACATTGGTTCGGGATAAGCCCGTATAAAATTTTGGTTCAACTTGGGGGCTAATTGCTTCAATTTTTAGTTTGGAATAAAGACTAACTGTTTCAATCCGTCATTTGGAATGAAGACTAGCCGCCTCTCTCCTTTGTATATTGTTTGGTTGGAAGTTAGCTAGAAACATTATTTTCCTTATATAAGGGGGTTCGAGAGTTCACCTACTAAAACTCTTAAGTTTATTGGATACTCACAAGATCAAATCTTAGGGGTAGGATTAAGTCTTCTTGACTGAACTTGTATAATTCTTGGTGTCTTCTCTCTTCCCTTAAGTTTTACTTACCGCATTTGTTTCTTAATTTTTGCAGCTAATTTTTGAAGTTTTCTAAAATGATTTTAAACTCTGAAAATGATTCTAAAAGTTTTTCAAACTACCGTTTTTTTGAAACACACAATTCACCCCTTTCTCCTCTTATATGTGGAGTCACACGTTCAACAAGTGGCATCAGAGTCTAACTACTGTTTAAGGACTAATCATCTCAGAAGGAAGATGACTTGCAACACATTTTTAAATAAGAGTTCTTTCCTAAGCACAACTCCACTATTTAATGGTGCTTAGTCTTAAATATGGAAAGGTAGATTTAGAATCTTTATTCAAAGTGTTAACAGAGAATTGTTGGAGTCTATAATTGATGGTCAATTTATCTCTACTTACCAAGTATATGGAAAAGTAGTCAATAAACCTAATTTTCTTTGGACCAAAGAGGATAAGAGAAAATTTGAATTAGATTTCAAAACCAAGAGTTTTATTGTAATATGCCTAGATGATAGTAAATTTCATTATGTTAAAAATTGTAAAACCTCCAATGAAATGTGGGATACTCTTGAAATTATATATAGAGTCTCTCCAAGTATCGAACGAAAGAAAATGAACACACGAGGCAAGAAAGATGAAGCATCCTCTTATGAACATGAGGTGATGTCGTTTGGTGTGCCCAACGCACCAGGTGTGTTCATGGAGTACATGAATCGTATCTTCCATGCTTATTTGGACCAGTTTGTAGTAGTTTTCATTGATGACATTTTGATTTACTCCAAGTCAGAAGCAGATCATGTAGAGCCTTTGAGGGTTGTGTTGCGAGTGTTGAAGGATAATAAATTATTTGCAAAACTTTCGAAGTGTGAGTTTTGATTGAGCGAAGTGAGTTTTCTTGGACATGTTATTTCTAGAGGAGGCATAGTAGTGGATCCATCGAAACTGAGTGTTGTGCTTCAGTGGAAGGCTCCAAAATCAGTGACGGAAATTAGAAGTTTCTTAGGCTTGGCAGGCTATTACCGTAAGTTCATCGAAGGGTTTTCTAATTTGGCCCTTCCGTTGACCCAGTTGACTAGAAAAGGCTAGGAATTTGTATGGGATATTTTGTGTGAAGAAAGTTTCCGAGAACTGAAGAAAAGGTTGACTACGGCACCAGTGTTAACCTTACCAAATATGAATGATCCTTTTGTGGTATATTCTGATGCGCATAAAATGGGATTAGGCGGTGTTTTTATGCAAGATGGCAAGGTTGTGGCTTACGCTTCACGAAAACTGAGGATTCATGAAAGGAACTATCCTACTAATGATCTATAGTTAGTTGCAGTGGTTTTTGTACTAAAGGTTTGGAGGCATTATTTGTACGGGTCGAGATTTGAAGTCAAAAAACTCACAATATATGGAAACATGTCTCTTGAGTTCATTAACTCAAACAATCGTTAATCAAAAACCAAATCAAGGTATCTTTCCCCAACAAGCCCTACGTCTAGGGTTATCGACTCGGACCACGGATCCTTGTATCATAAGTATCTTTCACCGACAAGCCTTATGCCTAGAGTTATCAACACGGGTCACGGATACTTATACCATAGGTATCTTTCCCCGGCAAGCCCTATGCTTAGGGTTATCGACACGGGTCATGGATACCTATGTCATACTTTAACATACGCATAGATTTCGTACTCTAAGGGATAACATCCACCTTAAGAATCGTCGCTTCCTATGATACTTCAAACTCATTTCAAGATTTTTACCTGTATGGGCCTCTAACCCACTTTGGAGTCCATTGCCTTTGTAATTCAAACCCAGGTCATTCAAGCATGAGTGCGTACATCCCAATTCTTACTCTATATAAGCATCTCAACTTGGGATGGAACAATCAAGGGGTTGTTTCCGACTACGTGATTAAATAGAAACATAATGTGATTGTATTCGACAATCACAAGGCAAACACATTCACCTTAACAACACCACAACACAACATGTTCCATACAAAGCATATAGTTCACGACTATACTATGATTCTAGCGACTACTTGTCCATGACACACACCAAGGTACCCTTTGTGTCCAAGCATCTCCATCTAAGTCTTTCTCATAATCTAAGTTATCTTTCTAGTTCATTTACCTAGTTATAATTCTAGGTTTCCTCACTCGTCTTCATAAGGTTTTAATCATGTTATTTCTCATTCAATGCAACCATATAACCACATACATATACTTTCCAATTTAATGCATTCACATCATAATGTTATACATAAAACACATAATGTATTATGATTCATAAATATTTCTAACCAATTCATAACATGTACACTATAACCCTAGGCAAATCCATCTCACAACCCACTCATCATTACCTTAGGTCATTCAAGTTATTATGCATAAACAATTCAAATATAATTAACCATGAGCAATTCACTTAAGAAATATAATCATTATTATCCTCTACTAATTATTTTTCGTTAGTTCATGGTCCTTCATCACAATGTAATAGCTCATTGGATTATCCTTCCAAT